GGCAGTTTTTAAAAGAAATCGAAGCTATCGATAGTCACATAAAAGATGCTCTAAATCACTATTGATTAGAGAAATTAAAAGTTAAACAACTCTGAGGTACCACCTTATAACTATCAGATTGGCTACCATCACAGAAAAGGAAAATAATAAATGCTGGAGGGAATATAGAAAAAGAGGTACACTAATGCACCATTAGAGGAGTTGTGAACTGATCTAACCATTCTGGAGAATGACATGGAGCTATGCCCAAAGTGCTGTAAAGCTTTGCATACCCTTTGACCCACCATTACCATTACTAGTTCTGTATCCCAAAGAGATTTTAAAAAGGGCGGGGGGGAAGGACCTACATGTACAAACATATTTATGGCAGCTCTTTTTATGGTGGCAAAGAAACAGAAATTGAGGGGTTGCCCAACAATTGTGCTATAAGAAATGATGAACAAGATGGTTTCAGAAAAATCTGGGAAGATTTATACAAAATGATTCACAGTGAACCAGAATAACATTGTTTGCCAATATTGTAATGATGATCAACCATGAAAGATTTAGCGAGGCTGATCAATATGATGATTCAAGACAGTTCCAGAGTTTTCATAATGAAAAATATCAACCTCCAGAGTGAGATCTGATAAAGTTCTTGTTTTTTATTATTTTTTTTCAACATGGCTAATATGGAAATGTTTTACATGACCTCACATGTTTAATCAATCTCATGTGGCTTGCCTTGTCAATGAGTGGGAGAAGGGTGAGAGAGAGGAAGGGAATTTGGAACTCAAATTTTTTAAAATAAATATTAAAAATATAGGAAAAATGAGTTATAGAAGAAAGAATTTGCAAGAGAATTTCCAATTAACAGCTTGGCACAACAGTTAACAAAAGTTTGCTCAATCAACAAACTCCCTGAAAATTAGAATTGACCAAATAGAACCCAATGACTCCATAAGTCAAAAATCTGGAGAAATAAAAGAAAATATAAAGTATTTCACAGCAAAAACAACTGACCTAGAAACTAGATTGAGGAGGAAAAAATTTAAGAACATTGAGCTATCTGAACACGATGAACAAAAATAAAAGGGTCCTACAGCCCCTTGTAAGAACTCTGTAAAAGAACCGGAGAGCAAAGGGAAATAGAAAAAAATCCACTAGTTACCTCCTGAAAGAAACCACAAAAAGAAAATTCCCAGGAACAGCATAGAGCTTCCATGTGAAAGGAAAAATATTGTAAACAACCATAAAGAGAGAATTCAAACATGGAAGAGCCAAAGTCAAAATCATACATGATTTAGCAGCTATCACTATAAAGGAGTGAAGTATTTGCAATATATTCCAGAAAGCAAAGGAGATGGGTTTAGAACAAAGAAAAAAAAAGACTTACCAAAGAAAACACAATATAATGCTACAGGGTCTGGGTGTGAGGTGGGGCGATGCAGCTGGATTGAATCTTTAATGAGAGATCTGCCGATCATTCCTGATGAGAAGACCAGAACTGCAGAGAAACTCTGAAGTTCAAACACAGAAAAGCAACATAAAAAGGCAAACATGAATGAACGATGATAACAAGGATAAATTATTTGCATTCAAATGTGGGGAAATGATACATATGTCCCCTCTGAACCCTACCATCAACAGGATTTAGACTAGGCCTGAGAGTGTTCTTGTGATAGCTTGATGATCTTAAGATAACAATGGAAAAAGAAAGGGAAGAGGAATGTACTTTGTTGAAGGGGAGGGGAGGGAAGGAAGGTTAGGAAAAATTATCACACATAATCAAGGTGTACAAGTAGATTTGAACAAGGAGAGGGGGTACAAGGGAGTAGCTGGTACTTGAACCTCACTGTTATCTGAACTGTTCGAAAGAAGAAAGAATGTGCATACACATATGAACAGTTGGGCACAGAAATAAATTTATTTCATTCAACAGGGAAATAGAAAGGAAAGGGGGGAGAGAGAATCAGAGGGAGGGTAGATTAAAGGAGGGATTAGTCCTAAGCAGAACAAACTCTAAGAATATACAACAATATTTATAGCTCTCTTTGAGGTGGCAAAGAATAGTAATCTCAGGGGGTACTTATAAATTGGGGGCTAAATGAACAAGTTATACTGCATAAATGTGACAGAATAATTGTGCTGACCTTGTATCAGCATCATGACTAACTAGGTATTCAGAGGACTAATGAGGAACATGCTACTCACCTGCTGTCAGAGGTGAAGGACAGAATCCAGAATGAGACAAATGTTTTTTGAACATGGCCATTGTGGAAATTTGTTTCTATTCCCTATACACATTTGTAATGGTTTTTTTTTGTTGTTGTTGTTGTTTGAGGTAATGGGAGTTAAATGACTTGCCCAAGGTCACACAGCTAGCTAGTAAGTATCTAAATCCATATTTGAATTCCTGACTCCAGGGCCAGTGCTCTATCCACTGCACCACCTAGCTGCCCCTGGGTTTTGTTTTTCTTATGTGTAATCAACTGGCAGCTAGATAGCATAGTGAATAAATACTTGGCCTGGAATGAGGAAGATCTGAGTTCAGATATGACCTCAGACACTTACTAACTGTGTGACCCTGGGCAAGTCACTTAATCCCTGTTTGCCTCTGTTTCCTCATCTGTAAAACAGGTATAATAATAGCACCCAGAGTTGTTGTGAGGAACAAATGAGATAATAATTATAAATCACCTAGCACAATGCCTGGCACATGGTAAGTACTATATAAATGTTAGCTATCATTATTATTATCATTGTTGCTGTTGTTATTGAAATTGATGGGGTATTTATGAAAAATATAGTATACTTTTGTCTTGATCATCTTATTGCAATAGAATTGTATTTGTGTGTAGTGTAGTATAGTATATGTGGGGGTGGGTAGAAACCTATTCATATGGGAGCAGTGTTAATACAGTCCAAAACAGATTTCATTGATTATGATCACACTTTAAATTCTTCTTCTCTCCTTGATTTATCTGTTGTTACATATATCAGACTCCCAGTCAATCACATCTAGAAGTCAGTCTTTTAATTACCCTGGGAAAGGTCAACTCAACAAGTATTTCTTAAGTATCTACTACGTTACTATACTCAAGACTAGAGATAGATTGGACACCATACTAATTCTCAAGGACTTTATACTCCAATAGGAAAAGTACATGGAGTCAAAGGGCAAGAAGGGATTCAAAATAAGTGTGTTCTCTCTGTCTTTGAAGAAACTGCCGAAATTCTGACAAACCAGACTATAGGAGATTATTTAGCATCTGGAGAGATCCCAATTCTTATAGCATAACTGGGATAAATTTAAAAAGCTAAAAAAGGCAGAAGTCTGAAGCGCCTAGCGCAACACCTTTCATCTAGTTGATGTTTAATAAATATTTGTTGTTTTGAATTGAGTGTATCCTAGTATGTTGGGCAAGTTACTGTGTTTTTGGCATCTAGGTGATACTGTGCAATAAAGCAATAGATCTGGAGTCAGAAAGACGTGGATATAAATCCAACCTTTTACATTTACTAGTTGTGTGACTCTGGGCAAGTCACTTAACTACTGTCTGACTGAGTTAACTTATCTGTAAAATAGGAATAATAATAGCACCTGCCTCCCAGAGCTTTTGTGAGAATAAAATGAGATAATATTTGTAAGACATTTCAAACTTTAAAGCATGATGTAAATGCTAGCTATTGTTTGTTGTTGTTATTTTGTCCTAGGTACTTGTCCTTGTTAAATGAGTGATAATAAAACTAACATTTCACTCAGATAAGAACTGTGATGACAAGGTAACTACTTATAAACTAGATATAATTTGAAACTAGTTAAAATGTCCCCTGGTAGGAATTTAACTTTATTGTACCAAACCCTTGTAGCATTCAATAAACCTGTTTTTGTTGGCATGGAAATAAAAGACTTAGAAATAATATGTTCGCTTGCATGAGTAACAGACGAACCCCACTTCTTTTTGCTTTTCCAATAACATCCTGTTGCAAAACTAGGCAAAGTGATGGGGTTTTTCATACCTATCCCTGTATTTTTATCTATATCCCTCTCGTGATATAATGAGTTAAGATGTACAGTAAGCCATACTTAATTTAGGCTAATTCATAGGGAGTTTTATATGAAAGATAATTTTTAAATTATATTATTCAGAATACATGTGATTATGAAACTAGGCTTAGCAGTTATAAGATAATGTAGGTTTACTATAATGAATAGATAAAGAACAGATAGGAATGATTTATGGTTGTGATAGTAGCATGATAGTTTTTATATACATATATATATATATAAATAAAATTTTTTTTGGCATGCAAGTAGATAGTTATGCATCCCTTAACAAACATAGCTTGTTTTCTAAAGTAGACAGTCTACTTCATTTACTTAGTGATCTTATTTAGACTAGTCCCAATTCAAATTGTAAGAAATTTCTAGTCAGGCATGTCCAAATTATTAAAGTTTTATTGTTCTTGTATATAGGACTTAGGACAGGACCTAGGTTTGCATTGGTAGAAGAAACTCCTTCTATTGATGTAGATCATCATTTGTTCTGCAACTTATGGTTGCACAGTTGTTATGGGGAACTGAGAAGTAGAGTGCCCCTAATCACACAGGCCATAGATGTCAGAAATAGAAAGTGAGCTTAGCTTGGGTCTGATTTTGAGGCCATTTCTTTTATCCATTATACCACTCTGCTTCTCTATGCTGAGAGTAAATTTTCATATTCACTAATAATACAAAAAATATTTAGGGGTATGAGTTTCTAGGGGTATATAGAAGAAACTAGAAAGTATGGAATGAGGGCAGCTAGGTTGCACAGTGGATAGAGCACCAGTCCTGGAGTCAAAAGGACTTGAGTTCATATCTGGTCTCAGACCAGACCCTTGACATTTACTAGCTGTGTCACCTTGGGCAAGTCACTTAACCCCAACTGCCTCACAAAAAAAAAGTATAGAATGAATAATTTAAGCATAATTTATATTGAGCATATATTGCATATTTCTGTGTTTTTTAATTTTAGACATAAAGGAACAGACTCTCCACCAGATGTAGACGATGTCATTGTGGTATTAAGCAACTTCAGAAGCAAGATTCTGAAAGTCCAAGTACGTAAAACAAAACCTTCTTTACATGCATCATATTTGGGAAATGAGCTGAAATCTCTTGATTTTTTTTCAAAATCAGAGTATATCATATTCTATATCCTACAATGCATTAGTTAATCATTTAAGTATCTTTAAATTGTCTTATTTAGTTTCTTCACTTAATTTTGTGAGGTTCTATTAACATTTAATTTATGTGTAATATTTCATTTAACAGGAATATGTAGAACAGCAACAGTGTATCCCATGTTAAACTCAATAAACACTATTGGATATACGAATGAAGTAGAATAGATTTTTTCTCCTCTCTAGTAGCTTTTAAGTAATATACATACAAGTGCAAAACAAAAGAAGAAAATGATCAGAATGGGGTGGAGATGGAGAAGTACATCTTGAAGGAGTTGAGTTTTGAGTCGAATCTTGACCTATTTAGTATAAGCTGGAATTCTTCCGGAGACAGATCAATACTCTTGTTAGAGCATAGAAGTGAGAATAAACAAAATGTGGGGAATAGCAGAAATTGAACTGATTGGAACAAGAGAGGCACGGTAGAATGATAAGGTTAAGTGAATTAAGAGAAAGTTGATGGAAGGCATTTTGTCTTGGTGGGCTGACAAATATAACTTAGACAATCAGAATAGAATATTCTTAAATAGGAGAAGAATATGGTGAAAATAGTATTTGATGGAC